CTTGCCCTCCAATTGATCAGAGTTAAAGGATTTCAAGTGGACTCATTACAATTACAGGGCCTCTAAAGAGTCCTGTATTGTTATTTGTCGTCACAACCTTTCCGCGACGGGAGTGGGTCATTTGCACGCCTGTTGCCTTCCTTGCATGTGTTAGCCGTTTGTCAGGATCCCTGTACAGAATTGAACCCTGATTCCCCATTACCCGTGGTCACCATGGTAGGTGCAGTCAATGGCATTGAGAGGTGATATGGATTGACATCCGAATGCGTCATCGCCTTCTCGTTGGGGAGCACATTGAAAAAGTACTCTAGCATGACGAGCTGGTTGATCTCCTCCGGGAACTTGGTTTGATGGGAGTTGAGCCAGTTCTGGGTGGCCCTTGTGATGCCATGGTGTATACTCAGATATAGAGCTGCTGCAGAAAGTGCGGGCCGTCTATGCACGCTTTTGGCGTTCTCACCCTGACGCTGCTCACCTGTCTGCACTGCAGCATAACTTCGGCCTTCCCGCTCATGAGACCGTGTAAGCAGCAGGAGGTGATAGTGGAGTTTCAGATGCAGCATGCACGGGTCAGTCACTCTGCGGAACAGTTTTCTTTTTTTATGTGTCCCAATATTTTGAGAGCTACCCCAATTAAAATAAAAAAAAAAATATATATATATATATATATATATAAAAAAGTGTTGGCTACCTCCTCCTCCTCCACCGCTGCTTCCACCTACACTGCCACGGTCACCGCCTCCTCAACCTATGAGTCTCTTAGTATGAACTATGTACACAATATCAGAGGCTTGTGAAGGCATTGTCTCCATGCATCAGGAGTTGATCAATTCTCCATGCATCAGGACAGCAAGAAATGCACCGCAGGCCGCAAATGTTTCTTTTTTTTATATGTCCCAATATTTTGAGGGATACCCCAATTAAAAAAAAAAAAAAAATATATATATATATATATATATATATATATATAAAAAACAGTGTTGGCTACCTCCTCCACTGCTGCTTCCACATACACCGCCACGGTCACCGCCTCGTCAACCTATGGGTCACTTAGTATAAACTATGTACACAATAGCAGAGGTTTGTGAATGCCTTTTCTCCATGCATCAGGAGTTGAGCTCAGTTTGAACAATGAAAGAGAATACCCTGCACTCCAACCCTCTCTCAAATGGATAATTCTGGTGATCCTCCTGACAGCCATGCTTTAGATTTTGATTTATGTTCTTCCAAAGCTAAAATCAAAGTTTCCATCTAGTGCTATTTTATGGCTCAGTTGTATTTTTAATTTTTATGTTATTTTAAGTGATTTCCCTATCCACATTTGTTTGCAGGGCACTTGTCCTACTCTTACCCCCATTTTACTTCCTTTTGCAGTCCTCTTGCCCTTTCCATGACTTTTTTAGAGGCATTTTTGTGGCCAAAAGTTCGGGTCCCCATTGACTTCAATGGGGTTCGGGTTTGGGGTCAAGTTCGGGGTCAAGTTCGATCACGAACCCGGACTTTTTTTCAAAGTTCGGCCGAACCCGCCGGACCCGAACATCCAGGTGTCCGCTCAACTCTAGCTATAGGTACAATTAGGAAATTGCTGTTTCAAAATATATATGTTTAATATGTATCAATAGTGACATTGTAACACTGTTATCTATCATAAATCTCTGAACCACACCTCACATGTACATATTTTCTAAAGTAGACAATCCAGGGTATTCAATATGTGGTATGTCCAGTCTTTTTTAGTAGCCACTTAGTTAGCATTTATATTTGTTTGTGTGTGAAAATTGCAAAATGAAATGATATTGAATGCTAATTTTGGTCAGTATTTGTGACTAAGTGGCTACTAAAAAAGACTGAACATACCCCATTTGCAATACCTTGGGTTGTCTTCTTTTGCAAATGGTATGCCATCATGGGGGTAATTCTTATTCCTGGGCTACCATATGCTCTCAAAGGCAACATAACCAACCTGGCAATTTTCAATATAAAAATATTTGCCCCTTATATTTTACCCTGTAACTTTCAAAAACACTATAAAACCTGTACATTGGAGGCATTGTTATACTCAGGAGACTTTGCTGAACACAAATATTAGTGTTTCAAAACAGTAAAACGTATCACAGCAATTATATCTTCAGTGAAAGTGCCATTTGTGTGTGAAAAATGCAAAAAAAGTCACTTTCACTGACAATATCATTGCTGTGACATGACTTTACTGCGAAGTCTCCCGAGTAAAATAGTACCCCCCATGTACAGGTTTTAGGGTATCATAGAAAGTTACAGGGTTAAATACAGTGCTAGCAAATAAAGTTCTCTGGACTTTCGGCCTGGGTTGTCAGGCAGGTCCCTCCAATTGCAATGAATAAAATTACTTAATTATGTAAAAATATTACATAAATACGCATGTAGAATTTAAATATATATGCATATTTATATATCTGAATTCTACGTGCATTTTTATGAAATTATTTATGTAATTTTGTATATGTATATATATATATATATATATATATATATATATCGTAATATTTTGATTTATTTTTATATACATAGATGTATATATATGTATTTTGATATTAATATATATATATATATATACACATATATATATATTAATATCAAAATACAGTTAGAATAAAATTTCATATATAATTTTTTTTTAAACTTTTTTATTATTTTTAAGTTTTTTTCAATTTATTTTAATTTAATTATTTGTATTTTATAACTATATATAATATATATAAAATATATTTTGTTATTATATAATATATATATATATATATATATATATATATATATACACACATGTGTAATTTAATATACATATATATTAATATAAAAATACACTTAGTGTGACATTATATACACTGCTCAAAAAAATAAAGGGAACACTTAAACAACACAATGTAACTCCAAGTCAATTACACTTCTGTGAAATCAAACTGTCCACTTAGGAAGCAACACTGAGTGACAATCAATTTCACATGCTGTTGTGCAAATGGGATAGACAACAGGTGGAAATTATAGGCAATTAGCAAGACACCCCCAATAAAGGAGGGGTTCTGCAGATGGTGACTACAGACCACTTCTCAGTTCCTATGCTTCGTGGCTGATGTTTTGGTCACTTTTGAATGCTGGCGGTGCTTTCACTCTAGTGGTAGCATGAGACGGAGTCTACAACCCACACAAGTGGCTCAGGTAATGCAGCTCATCCAGGATGGCACATCAATGCGAGCTGTGGCAAGAAGGTTTGTTGGATCAGCATGTAGTGTGTTTTTCCACTTTAATTTTGAGTGTGACTCCAAATCCAGACCTCCATGGGTTGAAAATTTTGATTTCCATTTTTTAATTTTTGTGTGATTTTGTTTGCAGCACATTCAACTGTGTAAAGAACAAAGTATTTCAGAAGAATATGTAATTCATTTAGATCTAGGATGTGTTATTTTTTTGAGCAGTGTATTTAAGATATATAGACATATATTATATAGTTATAATATATGTCTACATATCTCACATGTGTATATATATATATATATATATATATATATATGTCAGTATATTTATATCGGCAGACATTTTGTGCTAAGACAGAAATTAATAGTGTATATTGCCAATCACACTCCAAACAGAGCTGACTCCGTTTTGGATCTTCAGGCTAAGAAAGACACAGAATTTCTATCTATAACTCTACTCATTCAAGCCTGAGCTAAGGAATGCGTTATGTAAACAAGGCAACGAGTCTCACAGCAAGAATGGGGGTGGAACACTAACCCAGAAACAAATATATACACTATTAAATATATATACAGCCAACCATTATACACTTATTTACTATTATATTAAACACATATAATTAGTATCATGTTAATAATATAGACTATTCATTGATAAAAACATAACAAAAACATAACAAACAGGGATATAATTTCTAATTAGTGGAGTGATAGCTGCTTGATCCAAGGAGACATCTGACTGCTATTTTGGGGTCAAGAAGGAATTTTTTCCTAGTTTGTTGCAAAATTGGAAGCGCTTAAGACTGGGTTTTTTGCCTTCTTTTGGATCAACAGCAAAAACATATGTGAAGAAGGCTGAACTTGATGGATGCAAGTCTCTTTTCAGTTATGTAACTATGTAACTATGTAAATATCAATGAAAAATATCATATTATTTAATAAATGTTAGTGGAATAGAAATAATTTTACACACAGCTTCACCAAAGAACCAGACACCAGAAGGCCAGACACCAGTGATATATAATGCCAAGTAATTAATTTTACTTTCGGAATCTTACAAGGTCCCATTGTAAGAAATAGGGTGAAATTAAGGTTAGGAGGTGTCAATTCTAGAATTATGATCGAAATTGCCGCCATGATGAATGGGTAAATCCTTTGAACTGGCAGCAAATTTGAGTTATAGTGGCCATTATGGATAAGCCAAAATGATGCTGAAATCATCATCAAAAGAAGTTAACTCTTTCCAGGACAAGAAATTTTGGTGCTATAATTGTAAGTGAAGCACCCTGTCATAAATCTTGCTAAGTTCTTGTCAACTGGTTACTTTTAGTCACTGTATTTGTTTAGCCATTACCATATTGTATACCTATGTTATACTAAATATTCACTGATTATTATCAAGCATGTTGCATATTATTATTATTTTTACTATTATTGTCACAATAAATTATATTTTTATAAAGAATTGTAATTTACTGTGTGGAGTTAATTCCTCAAATGAGCGTTCTCTAGGATCTAAGAGAATTAAATATAGTGGGTAATTCTCAATATAAATTTTATATAATAAAAATTATTACATTAATTTTTGATAATTTTTGTGAAAATATTATTTTAATATTTTTCACCCCATAAATGTCCCCACAATATATACACATATATAATTATATTTTTATTAACGTTAACATTTTTTTTTATTTTACACTTGCAGGTAGACTGCCTGTCAGCACAGACAGTCCCCCTGCAGACAGACACTTGGACACCTGTTGTTGAGTGATCCCGTGGCCGCGGGGTCCTAATTCACCGTGGGGAGACTGCCTGGGATGCAGGCAGTCTCCCCACACCGAGAGCAACGCAGATAACCGCCGAGGGAACGATGGTGACCGGGTGAGTAAAGATTTCCGTTATGACGGTTCAGGACCATCACCGATCCTCAAGGGGATTTTTCCGATGACGGTCCTGAACCATCATCGGTTATGAAGGGGTTAATATAGCTGTGCTGTAATTAATGCATAGACACATTTTTTATTTAATGTGCAATAGTGAGTGGAGCACTATAGAACACAATATTAAAAGATTGTATACAACCTCTTTAAGTATTAGATGATTTCTTCCAAGAAATAAAGGAATATGTAAGAGAAAAATGTTTAAAAAAAATAAAATACAGTGATAGTGCAGATTGTATTAAACTGACACTAATTATCAATTACCATTGCTAAATGATCCCATTTGTGCATAGTTTTATTTGCAAGTAATCTTATTTGCAGATAATGATATAATATAGCATCAATTGTAAAGGGTTACTTAAATTGAACAATTTAGTGTCTGCTACATGCAGAGTTAAAACCAAAACATTAAACAGAAATATAATATAAAATAGACCACAGAGGATCGCTAGCCTCTTACTGAATGAGGTGGTGAGTTAAACCGGCTTCCGCCGTTACTCACTAAAACAGCTTGTGAAAAATCAATGGGTGGGCTACTGTCTCCTTCTCCGGTTCAAGGTTATTCAAGGTTTAAGCGGCTCCACCTATTGCGTTGTATGTATTTCTATGTATTTATGGTGGTGTAGGGGATACCACATATTAGGTGTATTTAGAGCTGCTCACTTTTCTTTCTTCCACTGTATGTACAATTTGTTTTTCACTGAATTATTTTACTTAACTCCTATCACACAGTGGTGAAAGAATTAATACATTAAAAATGGCACTTTCGGAGTGTAGAGAATACTCCATAAATAACATTGACTCAAGTAAAGACACTGTAAAGAATGTTCTAAATTATGCAGATACAGACAAATGCAAACTCAATCTAGAAAGATGCCTAATCAAAGAAATGAAAATTAAATGGGAGATAGCTACCCTAAAAAAATATGTAAGGGAACAGATTATCCCAAGAGGGTTAAGATTCCATAAAACTCCAACATTTGATAGGGAAGAAGAGACATTCATGATTGGATGGAATAAGATGCTAGAAGGATTTGCGTTCAGTACGATAGGTTATATTGTCTCAAGAAGGGAGGATACTCTAATACAATTAGACACTGAAATAAAAGAATGGAAAGAAAAAATAAGCAATACCACAAGCCCAGAAATATATAACCAAATCATAAAAGATATTAACATAAAAGTTGAAAAAAATAGAAAAGGAAGTCATAGAGATAAAAAAGAAGAAATACCTTTTGGATACAAATGATCACAAGACTGGAGGCACTAATCCCTTAGGTAAAACAAAATTAAATCCTAGTCAAAGAAGGGAGGAAACGTATAATAGACAGAGAAATTACAGAAAACACAAAATAAAGAAGAAATACATGTATCTAGACATAGAAGTCAAAGTAGATCAAGGAGAGATAGAAGTCGAAGCCGAAGTAGATCAAGATATAACTATCTTTCGCATACATCACAATATCAAACAAAACCTCAATACCATCAACGGTATAACAAACAGAATGACTATAGGAGATATGATAGAAAACAGAGATTTCCCCCAAAAAGAATAAGATCATACCGTGCATCTCCATTTAAGAATCCAAAATACAAGAGTTATAGTCAAGCATTACCGACAAATATTTCTAACACCAGAAAGACAAACCCAATACAGACAGAAGATAGAAAGAAAAGAACACGCAAAGAATCAGTTACAGCATCCACAACACATATGACAAACAGAATAGATAACATATTAGACTCCTCCAGACTAGAACCTTCACCCAGTTTTTTATGGAAGGACCCAGTTTCAGAGAGGTAGAAATTAAAAAGATGAAACCATTAAACCATTAAATCATTACCATCAAAATATGTCTAAAAAAGAAAGAAAGGCGGTAAGAGAGTTGCAACAAAATAAAGAAATAATAATCAAACCTGCGGATAAAGGTGGAGGGGTAGTAGTAATCCCAAAAGACAAATATCTAAAAGAAGCCGAAAGAATACTATCTGATATGGATACATACAAAAAATTAGACAAAAATCCAACAGAGGAAGGATTAGAATTGGGCATTTTAACAACACATGAAGCAACATATTTAACAACCCCTCATCCTATTATGCCAATTTACTACCATCTCCCCAAGGTTCATAAAAATAAAGAAAACCCCCCAGGGAGGCCTATAATATCTGGTATTAACTCTGTGTCGTCTAAAATTTCAGAATACCTGGACCACCTTCTACAACCGATGGTCATCCAAAACCCTGCGTATCTTAAAGATATGATACATATTTTACAAATTTTAGAGAACACCCTTTGGAATGATGGTAATTCCCTAGTCACATGCGACGTGACCTCTCTTTATAGTATTATTCCCCATGAAAAAGGGTTAGAGGCAGTCCAATATTTTCTAAATAAGCATAATTTTAAAGAAGAACAGACAGCATATATTTTAGAAGGCATTTTTTTAGTACTAACTAACAATTATTTTTGGTTTAATGAGGAGTTTTATTTACAAACCAGAGGTACAGCGCTGGGTACCAAGTTAGCCCCCAGTTACGCAAACTTATTCATGGCCTATTGGGAAGAACAATTTGTATATAAAGGCCACATATGGGGGGCAAACTTGGTAAATTGCCACCGGTATATAGATGACATCTTTTTTATTTGGACAGGGTCGCATGCAGAGCTAATTATCCAATATTTAAACGAAAATCAATGGAATATTGTCTTAACAGCCCAAATCAGCACAGAACAAGTTCATTTTTTAGATTTGGAAATTTTTATAGCCCAAAACAAGATATCTACTAGAAACCACTTTAAAGAAGTTGACGCGAATAGTTATATTAGAAGAGAAAGCTGCCATCACACGCCTTGGTTGAGTAATGCCCCCAAGGGCCAATTCCTGAGAATTAAAAGAAATTGTACGAGTGACCAAGACTTCTTAGAACAAGCAAACAAAATAAAAACTCAATTTTTAGAAAAAGGGTATGATGAAACCTCTCTCCAAGTAGCCTTAAATGAGGTACAAAAGACAGAAAGAACAAACTTGTTAACATACAAAAATAAGAAAAATAAAGGATGGAATACAGACATTCCATTTATATGCAACTATCATGGCAACAATAGAAAAGTAAATAAGATTATGCATAAACACTGGCATATCCTGAGAGATGACCCAATTTAAAAAAAATTATTACCTGAAAAACCAAAAATTTTCAGAGGAGCTAAAAACTTAAGGAATACATTAGTTCGAAGTAATAACAAAGATATAATAAAGGAAAAGAATTTCTTCGCAGTGGAAAAGGGCTTTTATGGTTGTGGATATTGTGGAGCATGCAAGAACACGAAAAGCAAAAAGAGACATGTCGTAGATTTAGAGCCCCACATAAACAAAAAATTTACCATAAGAGACCACCTAACCTGTCATTCTAAGGGGGTTATCTATGTCTTAAAATGTTCATGTAATCTTGTTTATGTAGGTCGCACCATCCGAAGCTTAAACATCAGAGTAGCGGAACGTGTCAGAAATATAAGAAATGGCATAGAAACAGGGCTCGAGTCCTGCAGGAACGCATGGGAACGGCGTTCCTGCACTTTTTCCATAGCAGGAACGCCGTTCCCGTTACCTGTCCTGCAGGACCGGCCCTGCTACCTGCACAGAGGGGCCATCACACGCTGTGTTCCCCCTTCAGCTCTAACTCTCGCGAGACCCGCGGCTGTTACCATGGCAACGCTCCGCACAGGCGAGTCTCGCGAGAGTTAGAGCTGGAGAGGGAACACAGCGTGTGATGGCCCCTCTGTGCAGCGGCTGGCTCCCTCCACCGGACCACCAGGCGATCTCCCCCCTCCCTGACAAGGTAAGAAGCAGGGAGGGGGGAATAAAATAAAAAAAATATACATAAAGTAAGAAAAAAATGCTTCCCCCCCCCCTCCACACATCATCCAGCACTCACACACACATCATCCAGCACTCACACACCCATCATCCAGCACTCACTCACTCACACACCCATCATCCAGCACTCACACACCCATCATCCAGCACACACACACCCATCATCCAGCACACACACACCCATCATCCAGCACTCACACACCATCATCCAGCACACACACACCATCATCCAGCACTCACACACCCATCATCCAGCACACACACACACATCATCCAGCACTCACACACCCATCATCCAGCACACACCACCCATCATCCAGCACACACACGCACATCATCCAGCACACACACGCACATCATCCACCACGCACACACATCATCCAGCACACACACACATCATCTAGCACTCACACACCCATCATCCAGCACTCACACACCCATCATCCAGCACACACACCCATCATCCAGCACTCACACACACATCATCCAGCACACACACACCCATCATCCAAAACTCACACACGCATCATCCAGCACTCACACACACATCATCCAGCACACACACACCCATCATCCAGCACTCACACACCCATCATCCAGCACTCACACACACATCATCCAGCACTCACACACACATCATCCAGCACTCACTCACACACCCATCATCCAGCACTCACTCACACACCCATCATCCAACACACACACACATCATCCAGCACACCCACCCATCATCCAGCACTCACACACCCATTATCCAGCACTCACACACCCATCATCCAGCACACTCCACACTGCATCCAGCTGCCTTTACCGCATTCGTATTCACACTTTCACTACACTCTGCACTCACTACAAACACACTACATTCACTATACACACTCTGCATTCATTATACACACTCTGCACTCACTACATTCACTATACACTCTGCATTCATTATACACACTCTGCACTCACTACAAATACACTACAATTATTATTCACACTGCACTCACTACAAACACACTACATTTATTATTCATACTCTGCATTCACTACAAACACACTACATTCATTATACACACCCTGCACTGCACTATATGCATAGGAGTGTAATTTTATTTTATTTTTAAGGGGGGGGGGGCGGGAATCTTGGGTGAGTTCCACACTTTCCCAGGACTTGACCCTGAGCTGGAAGGAACACAGCGTGTGCTGGCCCCTCAGTGCAGGGAGCAGGGCCGGTCCTGCAGGACAGGTAACGGGAACGGCGTTCCTGCTTTGGAAAAAGTGCAGGAACGCCGTTCCCATGCGTTCCTGCAGGACTCGAGCCCTGGGTACTACATTTAATTCTGCAAAGTACATTAAAGTAATAACCTTTATACTTGATTCAGGAAGTAAAGGGACTAATTAAAAAATATTTATATTAATTACTTTACATGGCTGTCACAATGGCAGAGAGGTAAGTTCCTTACCTGCTCATTGCCACCATCTGCATCCTCCATTCCATGCTGCAGGGTAAGAGTGATGGCCTCACGCTCTGATATTAAAAGGGCTATGGTGAAGCTGTTGCAACTGGCATAATTTATAGTTATATGACTACAGCTTTCATGATTTTATGCAAATGACTTTATTGATTTATTAAATATGCACAATTCTCCCATTGAAAGCTATGGGAGAAGCTGAGAGGGTTCAGACAATTGTTTGGTGACAGCTTAATGCAAAAGTTTCAAATCCTGAT